TTTGAAGAATGAGGTGTTGCAGGTATGACAGTTCGACGACACTAGAACTTTCAGAGATCTTTATGAAGGGTTGTTTTCACCTGCAGTCTTAGCCAAATCATCTTGTTTCTTTAAGTACTAATGAACCAAACAGTTCTTTGCATGGAGTCCATTAGTTTATTGCAGGCGAGGCGTGTGGGCAAACATCACATAGGCGTCTCATGATTCATGAGCCGAGTACCTCAAGGGTCTGATGGGGCGTTGTACGCTAAACCACCCTGAGTGTTAACATTTCGTGGACTGCCATCTAAGCTCCACCCTTAGGGGATGCTCCGTGCCCGATGATGAGACAACTACTGACGTGTCAGAGAACTTTTAAAGCATGTGACATGGCACTGTATCAAACAATGCACCTGTAACTGCGTGTCACACGGAATTAAGAGTACAAGCGCGGATACTAGCTGTTTTCAAAGTGATATCCAGGGTTACATACAAGCTGTACTGCTGGCAAGTGTAGCAATATGCTGCAACCTAAATCATAAGTAAATGGCTCTCTTGAATCCTCGTTAATCGAAAATGCTCAAAACGCGTATTTAATTTCTGCAAAAATTTCAATTACTTGAGGATTTCTCTCCTGTGCATAATTCAAAGTCCTCTATTAAGGTGTTTTAGATACATCCGTTGGAATACGTCTGCAGAGACTACAATGGAAATTGTATTACCGCCGAATAGTTAGGTGTATGGTTACTTTTAAACGGAGCTCGTGACTCACTCAGCAGATACTTTAAATTCGCAGAGAGCTTTTTCAGTCAGGACACGCTTCTGGGAGCGTCCATATCTGACCACTGGAAAGTGTCGTCACACATTCCAATGCGAATTTTTCCAAAAGAAATACACCCGGCTAAGCACGAACCAATACATATTTTTTGGTGGCAAGCAGAACGCTTTAAATACATCATTGCTGTGAAGGTTGACGAACAAGATCATTATTTCCCAGTCCTTCAGAAGTAATGGCAAATAACGCGGATACTGGCACAAATGCAGTCCACAATACAATAACAATGCAATACCATAGCAAAAAACACAAAAGTTGTTTAGACAAACAATTTTAAAAACGTCATCTACAGCCAGTAAATGTACTATGACGTAGAAAACAGTCTGCAAAATCGCTTTATGAAATTTATCACTATCTGCCTTAACATAAAAATGCACAGGAGAAGAGCTCTTCCATTCCTAGATGAAGACAAGCATGCGGATGTTTCCAAAATACAAAAACAAGCTTCGTGCTGAGGTTTAAGATATTAAAAGCGATTTTTGCCCGGTTTTAATTTAAAACATGCACACACAGCCGGTTTTACTGGCACCAGTAAATTCTCCGACAGCGTATAACCTGCAACCCATTGCTGCATCATGCTAATGACGAAAGTCTACAGCAACTTAAGTTTACACAGAAAAATCGATGCCAACCTGCAGGGTCATTACCTGGCGCACACAAATTAATCAATAAAAATAATAAATAAATATGTATTTTCAGGAAAGAAGACTAAAGGTAACACGCAAAATAAGGGAGCGTAAACCTAAGGACTGAGGATTACCACGACAGGTCGAGGTTTACCATGTTGTCTAGCTGTTTGCTTAAGTCGGGTTTCTCCCGCCGTATACAAGCTGCTTCTGTGTGGCGCAATGTCCGAATTGTTCATGCTCGAACGAGAACTCGTAGAAGTGTTTGTGGGTCAAAAGAGTGACTGCTGTTTAGGGGTTGTTTTGTGATAGAAGGATGAGGAATTTATTTTGCTGCCTTAATAGCCATTTAGACAAATGCTCAACTTTTACGTCTTAGGTTTTCCTTTTTTGTCTCTTTCTCGAATTGCCTTTTTAAATTATTATTTTCATTTATTAGCCTGCGTGAATCATGAAATGACCTTGTGCTTAGTACTGATTTTCTGTGCAAATTTAACTTTCTGCAAGCTCTAAGGCCTCATTATTCTAAATGCAGATTTTAAAAAACCGAAAAAACTTTCTGCAGCATATCGCCACATAAACATAAAGACTGTACATTAGTCAATCCTGTTACTTTCTCCAGCTCGAAGCAGCGATTTTGTAAGAACGGTTCGCCGGTTGTTGCGTAAGGATAAACAAACAAATAATAAAGCGGTTGCCCGACGAACACACAGGAGGCTTAAGCAGCCCTTTTTAGCCTATTGACCAGCTATACCCCAGTGCGGTAGTGCGTTAACGACCGCCATGGCTTCGCTTCCGACCTCCTTAATGGTAACGAATTCGTCAAATCATCAAGACATCTTACGTAACTGCCTACCTATGATACTAGTGGGCTAACTACCGCTAACGACAGTTGGACGGTGCGGAGTTTGGCTAACAACAAAATCCCTAGCGTGTCCAGGAGGCAAATTTTACACGTGTCTAGTCTGATTTCGGACAAAATATCAGCAAGAATTCTGGCTGTGAAATAACCAATATCAGATTTTCGATAACCCGAGGAGATTATTACAGACATTAAGGGAAGCGTTAGAAATTGTTGCAATTAATAACGCTGAAGCATTTTCACTCCAGTTATACCCCAACCACAGGCCGAAACGAATTCAGATTTTGGTCGGGTGTCAGTTAATTTTAGATTTGGCGATCACTGAGCCACTGGGCTAAAATCTGTATCACAGGATGGGTGTATATCCAAAGCTTGTCCGATTGGAAGGTTACATTTCGAGCTGCAGGCAAGAGACAGTGTTTTCGAGAGCTATGCCAGGTTATGCCTCAGCACGGAATATGGAGTGGGGATGTCGTTGCACTTGTTGATAGACTGAGGTCCCGTGAACCATGACTCAAGCAACTCGCAGCTCACGCGATTATCTCCTCTCGCGAGAATTTCGGCCTCATTGAACTTGAATGTGTGGTCGGGTCTCGTCAAATGGGCAGCAACCTGAGAGTTGGCGTCATTTCTCCGTACCGCTGCCGTGTGTTTGGCAATTCGCGTTCGGAACCGTCTTCCAGTTTCTTCGAGGCAGTTGCTTTGTCCACAACTGCACCAGATCCGGTAAACGACTCCAGATGTATCTTGCCGTGGCAGTGGGTCTTTTGGTCTCATCACCTGACGCCTCATGGTGAACTCCGGTCTGTGTGCAACTCCAACGGAGACCAGAATTTCGGTCTGGGCTCGGTATGTGGACGATACCTTCGTTGTCATCAAAAGGGATCAAGTGCTAATGTTCAAAGAACATCCCAAAAGCGTCTTCCTGGACATTCAATTTACGATGGAGGGAGAAGAAAATAACCAGCTGGCATTCCTCGATGTCCTCGTCTGTCGCAAAGATTGTGGCGGCCTTAAGACCAAAGTGTTCAGAAAAGCGACGAACACGACGCAAATACTGAACCTTAGCAATAACCACCCAACCAGGCACAACCGCAGTTGCGTAAGAACGCTATATCGGCGTGTTGAGACGCACTGCCGTGAACCAGAAGACAAGGTTGCCGAATCCCAATATCTTTGACGGGTTTTCAGAGAAAATGGTTATCTGCGCAACTTCGTCAACCGGTGTAAGCTTAAACAAGACGAGCGACAAAACTGTGCCGACCCCAAAGTCTGGCGAGCGATTCCGTACATCACGAGCGTCTCCGAGGCCGTTAGCCGCCTTCGTACACCACTTGGGGTTGGAGTTGCACACAGACCGGAGGTCACCATGAGGCGTCAGGTGGTGAGACCAAAAGACCCACTGCCACGGCAAGATACATCTGGAGTCGTTTACCGGATCTGGTGCAGTTGTGGACAAAGCAACTACGTCGGAGAAACTGGAAGACGGTTCCGAACGCTAATTGCCGAACACACGGCAGCGATACGGAGAAATGACGCCAACTCTCAGGTTGCGGCCCATTCAACGAGACCCGGTCACACATTCAAGTTCGATGAGGCCGAAATTCTCGCGAGAGGGGATAATAGCGTGAGCCGCGAGTTGCTTGAGTTATGGTTCAGGGGACCTCAGTCTATCAACAAGTGCAACGACATCCCCACTCCATATTCCGTGCTAAGGCATAGGTTGGCCAAGGCAATTCACCACTCGGGACGCGCGCAAGCCGGTGAGCAAGATGGCCGAGCAATCGTCACGCCAGCATCCAACACGGGTGATGACAATTTGGGCAATTAACAACTTGCATGCCGGACATCAAGCAATTAGCGCTCCAGCGGGCAACAATCCTTGATGAAGGAAGCGCGGTTAATTGCTATAGGTATGCGGTCGCATAGCGACTGCATCCTGCAAATTCCTGTGCACTACTCGCCCTTTTCTGCCACTGTCTCTGATGATGGATTCGAGTAAGAATCCGAAAAGTCGGGCGAATAAAGCTTTTGTTCCATTGATCGCTTTTTCTTCTGATCAAACATTAAACGCTCTATCCGTGTCGAGTGTCCCAGGACTAGGCCTGGTGGGTTCTAACTTTCGATGAGGGGCATGATATGTAGGGGTCTACAGTCAGCGGGTACATCGTGCCTGATGTGACAGGTCTTTAGCGGGCCTAGTCAATCGATAAAGCGATCCCACGCTAAGACCACGTCAGAGAAAGCCAAGCTAAACGCCCACGCCAGAATGGAATTGACTGTCGACGCCGCCCAGCGAAGAAAGGCAATGGGCGAAAATTCAGGTAGTTAAACCGGAAATCACACCAGTTGGAGCCTCCGCGCAACAGGTACATAAATACCAACGTAAACAAATGTGAAAAAATGCGCGTCTAGGAAATGGTTAACAAATAAATTAACTCTAAAGAATAGTGTATAAACAGGAAAGTGAAAAAGGGCCACCACAGGTCGCCTCTAAAACGGGCAGCGTGGAAGATGCACTGGACTAACATGAGGCTGCATCGAATACTGGCAGGTGTAGTCGGGAATGCGCATTTATAACAAATGGAAACGTTCGGATTGCGGTAGCAGGCCCAGTTGTCAGCTGTCACCGGGCAAATTGGGATCCCTGCCGCCCTCCACTTTTGCTGTTATTTAAAATCCTGATCAATTGTCTGTTATGTTTGTGGCGTTACGCCTAGATGCATCGCGGTGCACTAAGAGATCTCAAGGCCGACAAGGACATCGTCATCGTGCCGAGGAAAAGGGGCGTTCGACCGCCGTACTGGACAGAACGGACTACCTTCAGAAGGCCAAAATCCTACTGGAGGATCGCCAGTTCTATGTCCCATGTGAAACCAATCCCGTAAAAACGCTGACACGCGAAATTAATGCAACACTGTCAGCACTGGAGAACTCGGGTGCAATAAAACCGGTCGACCGACGCACGGCGAGAGTCCAAGAAACGGCCTTGGCCCGATTCTATGGTCTCCCCAAGGTGCAGAAGGTGGGCGCTCCTCTCCGGCCCATTGTATCGCTCAAAGGCACTCCAACGTAAGGACTGACAAAATGACTGTTTTTGCACCTCAAATTTCTGACCTCTGATTTGGAAACCACCGTCTGTTCGTCAACACAATTCCTGGAGAAGCTTAAAGGAGTAAGTCTCCTGCAAAGTGAGGTAATGGTATCTTTTGATGTCACCTCCATCTTTACTTCTATTCCCCAGGAGCTGGCAATGGAGACCGTCGAGCTACTCCTACGAAGCAAATACAATGAAACGGAGAATCGTCTCGGACATGCCAAAATCCTTCAACTCCTAAAGTTCTGTCTCAGGACGTACTTCACGTCTGACGGAACAATCTACGAGCAAGGGAATGGAACACCAATAGGCTCGCCGATTTCGGGAGCGAGTTTTCGTCGTGCTAGCGACCTGCCTCCACTCTCGCCTCCGGTCTTCTCTAGCCGGTCACGACACCCGTCCCAAGTGGAGAAGGAAGAGAGCTTGCGGTGGATGTTCCCCATGTCTGTCATCACTATAAACTAATTCAAGCGCAGTTAGTTTCCCTAGTTTTACCCTTTGGTGGTGCATGATGTGGAAATCGTCGGTCACGAAATCAAACTACCGAGTCGCGTCAGTGGAGCTCCCAGCAATTCCTGTCTGCTTCCGGTAGATACTTCGATTTAGAAATGGTAGCCTTTTAATCTCCTTAGAAATTTACTGAAAATTTGAAGTAGATCAGTATTTTTAAGGTCTGTAGGCTCAAACCTTAGTTTTTATGCATTAATATTTGGACCGAAATCCATCGGCCACAGCGGATTACCGCGTAATATTCATTAACTGCCGAAATTTTGCACTTAGGTTTGCGGCCGATTTTGTTAAACTAACTCGGCGACAACACCACAGATAGCTCGACGATGAAACGGAGGTCGAAGGCCAACCCTTTTAGAAACATTTGGTCGAAAAACTCTGCTTAAATAACACCATTATCGCAAAAAAGACGTCATACTCCCAGTGCTGACTAAACTTGCACTAGGGGCTGTGCACGATACAAATTGGTTGGGAGCCACTTATCTCAAAAACACCATCATAGATAAATTAACCTGGTTGATCAACTTGCAACGTGGTCTTCAAAACTTTCTAAGCTTCTAAGAGGAACCAGATGCGCTTGCATAACCATTGCCAAGTCGTAGTCAGTGTTACCCCATTGATTACAAGACTGTGAATTCGCTGCGCTGTCTGAATAATGATCAGGGCAAAAAGCCGGTAAACCGCATCCTTTGTAAAATAAAACTTGACTCAGTTTAGCGAAAAGACCGTTCACAGTGCACTGGGCACAAAGTTGACGAGCATGGTCTTGGCTAACGTCTTGTTGTGGACCCGGCTTGGGTCTTCGTCAGTTTTCACGTAGACCCAGGAAATGACTTTGAGTAAAGCATGCTCTACAGAGCTCATCTCCAAATCCTGCCGGATCAAAACAGACGTCACAGGAAATACTACTTTTTTGGATATTTTTTCCCATTTTTTCTAAAAAGCTGACTTGTTTCCTCGCCCGTCCCTCTGAACCACTGCCACCGTAAATCCGGCGTCTAGAGCAACCTATTTGGTCAGTTATAGGCGCATCGCACAAAAGCAGATGACGGCTAATGAGCATGGAGTTTGCAATCAAATCCATACCGAGGAAATATCGCTTAGGAATTCATGAATATTTCAACAAATTCGCCACGTATGCCCCGTCGACCTGTCGCGTTTGCATGATGTTTTTGAAAATGCACCGTGTTGTGAAGAAGCCATGGTTGAGCTCATAGAGTTTCGTTCCTTATTCACAGAGGCTGTTGGATGAGGCCGTGGAACAGAACACAGCTTCCTCGAGCCCAGAATAAACCTGAACACTACTCGAATTCCGATTGTAAGTTCCATTTGAATGTTAACTCCCCAGGTAGGTCAGACCCACCTACTGCGCGCTGAGGCTAACATTCCAAACTCTATCTGTTCTGAAATTTAATTTAAAAAAACCTTGTTTTATCGGCCTAGTGTGCATCCATGACAATCTTCACTTAAACAGAAATTATGGTCCTTGTAACATGAGCAGGGAACATATTGTGTGTTTATCACGCTTAGACGAGGTGCATAGCGTTGTCAGTCATCGAGTCCGTGCCCACCTCGGTAGTGTTACTATCGCAGCGGCTTAAGGCGTTAGGTAAAGCCTGACGACTACGACAGTCAGGCCCCCTCCTGAACAGGAAGAGGATAAGTGGAACGTCAGTTGGGAGGAGGCTGTATTCTGCGCAGGACTATTAGGGAAGAGTTTGGTAGGATTTAACAGTCGGACGATGGCACGTCCGACACCGCGAGAGCAGCGTCTGCAAGTGTCTCAGGAAGACAAGTGTCCCGAGGAGACGGAATCTTTCTTCTTTCGGCTCTCGTTGAATTTTAATCAGTAACTGAGTGGGCTTTCATTTCAGACGAATAATTAGTAATCAGTAACTGAAGGGTTTTCATGTCAAAAAATAAACAGGGGGGACTTCGATGAACATTTATGGTTCACTAGATGTCAGTTCTAACCACTGACCCGTAAACCTGCCTCACACACGTATGCATACGGTATTCAAGCAGCTAATCCGTTCTACATACAGATCTGCTCCCATATATCCGTAGGAAACCTGCGGATTTTCACGAGGTAATTAAAATCAGTTGAATGTATCCGCCATAAGCGCACATCCACCCGACTACGACGATATTCTTGACTAGTACGGTTTTACGAATACGTCTGTTGGGCGATCCTCAAGGCTAGATGACACTTGGTTCGGCGTATTTTTCTGAAAACTATTCAAGTCTGTGCCTCCACGACTCTGTATTGACAACCACCGAATACTTTAAGGCGTACAGTTGACTTGGCATTGCTTAGGTGGTCTTTCTGCACCGAAGACCGATTTGTGAGATATAACACAGTTTACGTAAAAAAAGGCTGTAAGTGGAGTTGAGGGAAAAATATTGCCTCTGGCGTTACCGTCTTGAATAACCCTGACGACTGCCAAGGTCTTGCTGTTTAATGCATACACACAAAGAAAGAATTCGGGTTGGCTCCCGCTACTGCTGCATGTCTGTCTTGAGTTTCAGGAAGACAAGTGTTCCGGGGAGACAGGATTTTTCTTCTTTTGGCTATCGCTGAATTTTAATCAGTAACTGAGTGGGCTTTCAGTTCAGACAAATAAACAAGGGGGACTTTGATGAAGATTTATGGTTCACTGGATGTCAGTTCTAACCGCTGAGCAATCCTAGTTTCCCTTCTCCTTATCGGTAATGCCCTGCATATATTACATTTCACAGTACGAATGCTGTGGGAGTCCAGATCCAGCCTCAAAGGGCAACAGGAGGAGCGGGTCCCGTCATCCGATCGGTGAACGTCAATATCGCCGATCCCAACCGACAGGACAAGGAGTCTGTAGACTAACGATTGGAGTGTTGGATGTGCTACCGCCTAACAGTCAAAAGGCAAGTCCGAGCCTCGGATTGCACCGAACCCGGAGTTGGGTAAGGCTGGCGGACGATGACTGGTAGGCCAGAAACGACCATACCAGTCTCCCTAATGCTTATTGGTAATCTGTTCCTGGCTAAACTGTGTACTATTGTAAAATGTTCACTATAAATGCGTTAGACATGTTTGGATTTGCCAGCCAAAAACCGACGCAAATGAAGGAACTCGTAAAGTATGAGAATATTTCGTTAGGTTTCTGTTCTGAAATTCATAGCCGAAAAATAAGCATTTCGGCGTTCTGTAAAACCTCCACGTTGTGTATTTGCGAAGCTACGATAACCCCACTTCAGAGATAAGTCTAGTCCTTTTAAAATTTATTACGCTTACTGTTCTTATTTATCACCAATATCCATGCGATTTTATAAAAGATGTATTCTCATTTTAGATCATCTTCAAATGCTTTCCTAAATCATCTAATATTTTATGTTCTATGAGTCACTGCATCCGTTCCCCATGTACGCGCCTTATGTGTTTCGTAAAGATCAACGTTTGTGGACTCAAGAATAAATATTCCCAAGCCAATTTATAAAAATGGCATGTCTCAGTCAATTTTATTATCCAAAAACAAGGTGGATATTTTAAACTTTGAAAAGGGCATAAGAATCAGTTTTCAGGTTTCGCAGTTGTAAGCAAGTATTAATTTCAGTGATGAACCGGTTGGCCATTTGCTGGAGTTTTCAAACGCCTGGATCTCTTCAGGTCGTCTTACAACATCGACCCCAGATCGCTAAAATGACAGTGCAATTGAGTTGGTTTTAGAGGCAATCAGCAAAAATAAGAGATGAAAAGTCAGTGGATTCCAAAGACGGTTTAGATGTGCAACAACCTACGTATGGATAAAATCAATATTTTTTTCTAAGAACGTCTGACTTTAACGTTTACCTCGACTATCAATTCATAATTGTTTGTGCACACTCTTAAAAGCAATTACGTGTAATACCCTTTTTGAACAAATTACTTTAAATATAAACTAGTTTACTGTCGATTTACAACCTCTTATACCAGAATTTATATCACTTTTATCACGACCGATACTTAGTGTTCCTCACCGCTGAAATGGTCTTCAATCTGATTTTTAAGTTTTTCGCAAAACTTGAAAAACACTAGTCAAGGTAGAAACCCGTCGACAATGTCATCAATAGCATTATATACGATCTTGTAAGGAAATGCAATCTCTGATTGCCCAAACTCTCAACAACCGATTTGAAGGTGTTTCCGTGGGTGAAAACAAGTCGATTTACCTCCTTGTTGTGCTTATCGTTTTAAATGAAACGTTCAACATGACAGTAAAAACTGAGTCTGATTCTACTCCTTGACCATTTCTTTTATTTCAAACTTCCTCATTTAAGGCAACTTATTCCAGTCGCACATGCTACAGCACTTCAACATACCAAAGCCTCTTGATCCAGTGCCTACCCTCTGATTATATATCTTAAGGAAAAGTAAGAAATTGATATAGGGTGATTTTAATGCTACGTTTAAAGTCTCTGATTGCGTGATGACTATATCATGGTGTTAGCAAATGTTTCCCCCTAAACTAAGTGTTTCAAAATTAACGCCCGTTAAGTCGTCCGGTGGGATATACCGGCTAAGGTTATCCCGTACAAAACCTATTCCAAAAAGTATGGTTAGTAATGTGGATTTAATTTTGGTCGGAATAGTTAAGTTTTGGTAGTAAACCATTCTGACATCACTAAGAAATTCCTTTTATATGCAACAATTCACTGCGAATTCCCCAGTACCCTTCCGCATGTAATAAAGAAATGACCTCATAGAGCATCGCGTTAGATATTTTCACTTCAGCAGATAGCCTCAGTGAACTTATTTGGCGTCCGAGCGCATTAACGCGGTCATCTCTTACGCGACTAAATCAGAAACGACTTTTTCACTGATGCTAGTACTCATGCGTAACGCATTGTTTGCAGAGGTTTCCAGCTAAATGAGCGACATACTACCGAGTGCAAAACTGACATTTCCCGTCACATAAAATAACTAAAATGTCTATCGG